CTTCCTTCCTTCCTTCCTTCCTTCCTTCCTTCCTTCCTTCCTTCCTTTCCCTTTCTCCTCTTCTCCTTTCCTTAGATTTTTGGAAGACTTTGGAAGATATTGTTCTAGAAACACAGTAACAAAAATATTTGTAGACTTTTGTACTGGGTTTTGGTGGTGTTTTTTAGGGCATTAAATAGTGCAATTAACATAATTATTTGTGTGTTGTTTGATTATCTGCAGAATATCTGAATAATTTACTGATTCCTCACTTACAATAACAATGAATTTGTGCTACATTATAATTTATTCATTTTTATTAATTATTCATTTTTGTTTTCTTATAAATATTGGATATCATATTCCCAATACTGATGTCAATAAAATGTCAAAAGAGTTAATATTTAAGTTATCTTTTATTAGAATAATTTAATGTACCATTTGAATATAACCTTTCCTTTTTTTCTTTTTCAGAGTACAAGTTGAATTTTATATGAATGAAAATACATTCAAAGAGAGGTTAAAATTATTTTTCATCAAAAATCAGCGATCAAGTAAGTAGTTCATTTAGTTTCTGGGTATTACATAATTTTGTTTCCCAAGAATAAAAACTTAAATTTTCTTTCTAACAATATTACTTTAAGGAACATCAGCTTGGTTTGTATTTTGAGGAAGACAGGAAGAAGTCAGAGATGTTTGATCAGGTCTCTGAATCTTCTCCTTTCTCCTGATTTCTCCCAGAAAGTGGTAAAGTACAAATAATTTAAATCAAGAATAGCCAACCTTTTTGTAGTGGGGAGAATTTGTAGGCCTGTGATTGATGGAGACTGGGTTTACTAACTGACCATGGAGAATGGCAGTGCTGATGGATTGTGAAAGTTAGGGAGTTGCTGCCTCATATGCTCTTTGTGGTATAAATAAAGCAAAGGATGGTTCCATGTAAGTAATCTAAAATACATAAATGTTAAAAGATGTGATTCCATCCAATTTAACTCAATTTATAAGAAGCCATCAAACATCAGTTGTGTGCCTGGAATTATACTAAGTACTAGAAATATAAAGAAAAAAACCAAAATAGTTCCTGACTTACAGAAATTTATAATCTATTAGGAAGACCTGGGCTCAAATCCCAAGTCTGATTCATACTAGCTATGTAACCATGGGCAAGTCACTTAACCTATCAGTTTTCTAGGCAATGTTAAGACTATAAGTTGAAGGAAAGGCCCTAACCTGTATTGGTAGAGGGGGTTTTCTTCCCCTGGGGTTCCCTGCACTAATGGAATTGTCTCTTTACTTCCTATTCCTATAGTATTCATATACTACAACTTATTTAGCCATTCCCCCATCAATAGTTACCTACTTTATTTCCAGTTCTTTGATTCTACAAAAATACCACTATAAATGTTTTTGTGCTTATTGTTCCTTTTATTTTCATCATTGACATCCTTAGGGTAGGTGTCTACCAGTGGAATTTCTGCATCAACAACTATGGACACTTATTTTAGTAACTTTCTTCACATAATTCCAAATTGCTTTCCAGAATGATCAGACTAATTGACAGTTTCGACAAGTTTATTAGTGTGCTCATGTTTCTACAACCATTCCAATTTTGAACTAATCTCTTTTTTTCTTCAATTTGCTTAGTTGAGGTAAACTTCAGAGTTGTTTTGATTTGCTTTTGTCTTTATATTAGTGATTTAGGACATTCTTTTATAGCTTGTTAATAGTTTGTAATTTGTTCATCTCTTTTTATCTCTTGGGGAACAGCTTTTTGGACAGAGAAAGAGAGAGAGAGAGAGAGAGAGAGAGAGAGAGAGAGAGAGAGAGAGAGAGAGAGAGAGAGAGAGAGAGAGAGAGAGAGAGAGGGAGAGAGAGAGAGAGAGAGAGAGAGTGTTGGCTATATAATTTGGATGGAAAGCAATTATGTGCCAGGTGTTGTGCTAAGCACTTTACAATGATTCAATCCTCACAACAACTCTGTGAGGTAGGTGCTTATGCTTCCTATTTTACAGTTGAGGAAACTGAGGTAGACAGCTTAAGTGACATGCTGGCATCACACAGCTAGCAAATGTCCAAGGCCAGATTTTAATTCAGGTCTTCCAGGTTCTGGGTCTAGCATATTATCCACTGTGCTACCTACTTACTTGTGGGATATCACACTCTTATCAGAGATATTTTATACAAAAAATTTTTTTCCCAGTCAACAGTTTCTCCTGTAATTCTAGTTGTGTTAATTTTGTTCATATAAAAACTTTTCAATTGTATACATATAATTGAATTCATCTGTTTTACTTTTGTTATAATCCTAATACCTTGTTTAATCATTTACCACCTAAAGATAGATATGAAAGGCACCTGATCTATTTGTCTTCAAATTTTTTTCATAGCACACTTTTATATGTATTTATATATTTTATATTTTTATATAGATCATATATTCATTTTGCATTTAGTGGGGGGGTATACTATAAGCTGGTATTCTAAATTTTATTTCTGCTATACTGTTAACAACATACTGGCTATGTAATCCTGGTCAAGTCATTTTACCTCTCAGTGGTCAAGCAGTTCTCTAAGACTATAAGTTGCAGAGAAGGTGCTACCTTGTAAAGATAGAGGGAGCTTCCTCCTTGGGAGTTTCATGTACCAATAAAATTATAGGACCAGTTTCTATCCCTACAAAGTATTGGCCACCCTTATGTGGTCATGCATCCTTGTTTATGAAAACAGTCGTTAAAAAAATTCATCACTGATCCAATTAGCAAATGCCTTAATTTGCTCCTTAGATAATTTTTTTTAACCAAGTTTCTTACTCTTTTGACTGTTGTCTTTTGTTAATGTCTCTTGTTAATGTCAGTCTGTGTCTTACCAAATATATGCAAAATGACATGGAGCTCTGCTTCAAATTAGAGCAGAACTTGGACAATAGGAACATTTTAATTTTGCCTAGATCCACAACAGTAGCTTTGATTTTAAAATGTAACACAATGTGGTTATTTATTTTTTTATTAAAAGAGGGAAAAAGAGAAATTACCTGCTACCAGAGCAGTAATTTGACAGGGAATTTTTAATGTGTTTGAATTGGGTGAGATGCCATAAGCTTTTGTTTTTTGACAAGAAAGAAGATGGAAGAAAAGTAAATATCCTTCTTTATGAGAGTCCAGGCATCCAGTGATTCTTTTTATTATTATTAAGATTTTGATTATTTTCAATAGTTGTGAAATTTTAGGTTCACTAAAGTTCTATACTTGAAAAGAAAGCCCAGGTTTGAGGCTACCTGTTCTGAAAAGATATTTGAGATCTTTATAATATCATAGGATCATAGTCTTAGAGATGGAGGGGACATTCAAGGTCACCTAGTCCAGTCTCTTCATTTTACAGATATGGAAACTGAAGAGATTCTGCAGGAAAGATATCAATCAGAGTCATGATTTGAACCTATATTCCAAAACCAGTGTTTTTTCCTCGCACCACAGGGTTGTTTGTCTTATTTTCAATAATATTAAAAATGCAGTGACCAAAAGCCAGGATCACAGTCATCTAGAGAATGTGGTATAAAGATGGTAGAGGATGAGATGTAATTAATTAAATACTATGTTGCCATTGGTGTTTGTGCTATGGACTGATAATAAATGTAAAGAATACAGATCTTCATTATAATTATATATACAAGGTAGAAGTTTTGACATTGTTGTATGCATTAAATGACCTTTATTACAAAGGTCATTCAATGTTTTTAGTAATTAAGGCTCCTAGTGTGAGTTCTAATATTATGTGTATACACATGCATTCATGCATGCATGCATACATCTAGATCTGTGATTTTAATGTTATCAGGACCTCACAGGGAGAAAATTCCCTTTATCAATGTAGATTAGTAAGTATTCTAAAATTTAGAGTCTTTAGTGTTACCTGGGGCTCTAAGAGGTTATGTGACTTACTCAGGGTCACAAAGCTAAGGTTTATCAATCAAGCCTTGAACCCACCTTTCCTGACTCTGGGGTTGGTTGTCTTTGTATTATATGTCACCCCTACCTCTTGAGATCTGACATAGACCTATCTTTTTATAAATTAGTATTGCTAGCTAGCTAGCTAGCTATAATATCCAACATTTATATAGTGGTATAAGGTCACTTTAATATGTTATTTCATTTGATTCTCCTAACAACCCTGTGAGATTGTTGCTGTTATTATCCCTGTTTTACAGATGAGGAGAATGAGGTGGAGAGGTGAAAGGGATTGCTGAGGGTCACACAATGAGTAAATATCTGAAGTGAGATTCCAAATTAGGCTTTCCTAACTTTAAAAGTCTAGCATTCTATGTATTGTGCTATGTGGTCTGCTTATTGACTATATTAATAACTCACATCTAGTGTATACTTCTTCATTTGATATTGCTTCTAGATCAATGTTGCTTTATGCCAATGTGTAACCAGGCCCAATCTGGAAGCCATCTTTTTAGTTGCTTTTGAGATGAGTGGTGGCCACCACCATGCTTTCCAACTAGTATGGAACAGGGGGACTGAACCCCTAAAATGCTGAATGCTAATTCCTCTCTGACCAGAGAGTGCATATAAATAGATCAAGAGTGATGAAATTAGCTGTCTTAAGGGAGTTCTTTGTTATCTTCTGTGAGATCTGGTCTCTTATTTTAATTTATTTTTTCAGTTGACCTTATCAAAGATAATTTTTTTACAGACACCGATTATAAACACACATGTGTATATGATATATATATATAGATAGATAGATAGATACATATATAGATATATATAGATATATATATGTGAGAGAGAGAGAGATTTAATACCCTTAAACTACCCTATGTATTTTGATACAAAAACCTTTGAGGAAAATACAAATTTAATAAACATTCACTTTTACAACTTAAAAATGTTACCTCAAAGTTATTTACACCTAGAAAACTTAAGAAATGGTATTTTTGCATTATGTTGTCTGACTTTAATTAACAGTTATTGCCAGTTCAGAGAAATCTTTCCCCAAGTGCTATTCCCACTGGATGACTCAGATCTTCCCAGATGCAGGAGGAGTCATTTCAGTTCATGAAACATTCAGGTGTTTTTCACTCAGTATTAATACTATATGGATTTTTGTTATCAGTAGAAAATCAAAGACTTTTTATTCATGTGCACCATGCACTAAAGAGATCTCTACAAAGTCATCTGTTTTCAAGAGAGGTTAGACTCAGGATTTGACTTTTGGAAAAAAAAAAACCACTTGGATTCTGGTAAGAAATCAAATTAATAAAGATAGGACACTGGGTTTGTTTAACATCTAATTTTCCTAGTATCAAAAAGTAGGATTTCTAATCCTAAACAGGTTATATTGAATACTGGACGTGGACATTAGACTTACGACTTCAAATCCTGTGTCTAAACCTTGCTTCAGACATTTGCTAACTGGGTGACCGGACAATTCTTCAGCCTCATTTCCCTTATTTGTAAATAAGATAACATTAACATTTATCTTAAAAGGCTTATGTGAAGATTATATGAGTATGTATATATCTATATCTTTATAAATCTTAAAGCATTATATAAATATGAACTATAAAAATGATGATGATAATTATATTCAACATGATCAAGTGAATTTCCACAGTGTAGACAACTCAGAGAATTTAGACTTAAAAGACCATGTGCACAGCCTCCCTTAAAGCATTCAGGGAAACATTAAACCACCTGAGATGAACATGGATTTTATGCTGTCTAAATTCTGGGGTCTGGGTTTGATCCCAGCAGGTAACTTTAGCTTTTATATGTAGTTCATGTGCTCTGTTAGACTCATATTTTTAAACCTTTGGGTAATTGAAATTCATCCTCTCCATAGAGCTATTCCAAAAAGATTTCTGAATATTTGGGTATTGTAGGTTCTAAATATCAATCAATATAAATGCTCTACTTAGAGTTGAATTTTTGACATATTTCTTTTAGACTTTTTTTGGATGGAATTTGAATTTGAAACAAACTGATTTTTTTTTCTTTTTTTGTTAAAGGTCTAAGAATACGCTTGTTCAATTTTTCCCTCAAGGTATTAAGCTGCTTATTATATATAATTCGAGTACTTCTGGATCCTCCACCACAAGGAAATAAATGGTAACTTTTTTCTTTTTTCTATTTGCCCTTGAAAATTGTTTCTCTGATTTCTTGGGAAATGGATTAAGTACAGTATTATCATTACTTTGTGCCAATTGGAATTTAAAGCTCACAGAGAGAGAAAGTTTGTCTTTTTAAAAATTAATTTGATTTAGTTTTCAGGCATGCTGTGAGAGTTACTATTGTGCTTTTTCTTACATGGTTTTCCATTTTTTGTGGGATGTGTGTATGTGTCTGACCTTTGATTTTAACCCTGTGGGGAATTCTCATTTGCAAAAATATAACTTAGTTCCTGGAGCACTGATTTATTAAAATGACTGGCCCGTGGTCACACAGCTAGTGCTAGCCTGAGCAAGGTCGTGAACCCAGGCCTCCTTGACTCTACTCCATTTCTGCTTTCTTGTACTTTCTTCCACTCATTTAATGTAAGGTCTAAGAGGTCTAAAAAGGCTGAAGCTGGCTATCTTTGCTCAGTCTTCTAAGGTTCGGAGAAACTGAACTCTAGCTCTTCATACATAGATTTTTGCTGCTTTACAGAAGTATGTCCTAAATCCTTGTTAACTTGAAAGAAACAAAGATCTTAAAGGGTCCTTGAACCAATATGTGATTAACCTATCTACACTTCCAAGGGCTCCTCTTCACTGCTGTTCTCATTGTTGTAGCTGCTCTCCACAGGGTGGGTTCCTGTCCTTTGAAAGGTTCAAGCCCAATCTTTGCTAGTCTTATTTCTATCTTTATCCACTTAACTTCATGCCCACTGCCCTTTAGCTCAATTCTAGTTGTACCTTTATTTACCTCACTGTATTGTTTCTGACCCCTCATTTCTAAGCTGGGCATAGAAGAGACATATAAAATATCTTCATCTCACTCTTAATATGAGTATTAGCATTACAGAATTAGATTTATTGTTGGAACTGATCTCCTCTACTCACATCATTTTACAGATGAAGAAACTAAAGCCCTAGGAGATGTGTTAAGGAGTGAAGCCCCAGATCAAATAGGTAGTGAATCAGAGAGCTAGGCCTTAAACCCAGCTTTGTTTTATTTTTTCCCACTCTGTCATTCAGGCCTTAATCAGTTTAAATGAATCCCAAACTGGGAAACCTAAAGCATATGAATATTTTGGACTTCTTAATAGAATCTAAGATAAGCTGGGTCTTTTAGAGCCTAAGTTTCTTGAGTGTAGGGACTATAAGTTGCTTTTTTTTTTTTAACATTATATTCCCCAGTACCAAGCATAAAGTGTCACATAATAGCAGGTATTCAGTGCCAGTCTGGTGAATTGAATTGGATCTCTTCATCTAGGTTTTTGGATTTAGTTTATATCTTTTCATCTATTAAATAACAGGTAGTTCTTATTCTCTTCTTAAATTAGCAAGTTGTGGTTTATGCAGCATAAATTAGTGCTCTTTTCTGATTCTCCTCATATCTGTTTGACCATTCTTTCTCAGGATTTGTTAAATCATTGTCTATGTCCTCCTGAGTACGATTATACCAGGCCTATTCTTTCTGTCTCTGTATTTGTCTCTCCCCCTCTTCTCTTTCTCTCCTCTGTCTCTTTGATGATCTCAACTTCCTTAGATTCATCTATCATCTCTATGCAGATGATTTGCAAACCTGCATATTCAATCTTCAATTCTCTTAAGTTCTAGTCCAATATCAACAATTGGCCATTGGACAGCTTTACCTGGATGCGTCATAAGCATCTCCCATGAAAGAAGTGCCAGATCTGGAATCAGTGGAATTTTGGTTAAATTCTGTTATTCATTAATTCTATAATAAAAAGGCAAGTCAACTCTTTGCATTTCACTTTATTTGTAAAATGAGGTGTTGAAACTAGGGTCCCTTCCAGTACCAATCCTACGATCTTATATCTTTATAAGAACCAATTTTATTTCCTTTTCTTTATAACTTCCTTGTTCCTATCAAGGATGCCACCTAGGTTCATAACCTCACACACAACTTTGTTCTCCCTTACTCTGCTATATCCAGTCATTGCCAGTACTCACTGATTCTAATTCCAGGGCATCTCTTTCATCCATCCCTTTCTCTCCCTTGTGACATTTTATCTGGAGTCTAGACTCTAGACCATTGCAGTAGTTTTCTAGCTGTTCTCCTTGCATACAGTCTTATTCGCCACATAGATGCTAAAGCATAGGTCTGAACGTTGCCCCCTTGAAAAGTAAGCCCTAGTGACTCCCTCGTACCTCTAGATTAAAAATGAATTCCTAATTTTGGCTCTTAAAGTTCTTCCCAATATGGTTCCAGCCTCTCTTTCTCGGCTGATTACTCATTATTTCCATTCGTGTAGTCTGTGCTCCAGCTAAACTAGCTTATTTGTTGTTCCCTTTATATGAGTTTTATTTCATTATCTGCTCCCAAGGCTTCACACAGCCTGTCTTCCATGACTGGAATGTTCTTCCTCCTCACCTGCTTTTCTTGGAATCTCTAATTCTCTTCAGGGCTTAGCTCTAATACTGCCTCCTCTATGAAGTCATTTTTCGTTAGCATCTTCCCTACTCCCAAAATAACTTTGTATATGTTTGGATTTACTTATCTGTGTACATATTGTTGTTCTCTAGTGAAATAAAAGATTCTTGAGGGCAGGGGCTACATCATTTTTGTCTTTGTAACCATAGGCCCTAATACAGTAGTGGTAAATTACAAGCACTTACATGCTTGTTGAATTGAATATAATTGAATCAATTATTAGTAAGGATTATTGGTAATTGATTTCAAATTAAATATTTTATAATAAACCCAATTGTATAATATTCCTCCATGAAACAGCTTTTTTACATGAAAAATTTTAGTTAAATAATTGTACCTTTTTTTTCTGCTGGTCAGTCTATCAATGTAACACATAAATTATTTAGGGACCTGTCTAGGTCCCTTTTCACGTTGTTACTAGCAGGAGCTGTCAAAACTGACATTTTGTAGATGTGTGCTGTTACTGCCTACAGGAAACATCTGTTTATGTTAAGTGCATTTTTTTTAAACCCCTGACTCTAAATCTGTGACTTCCTGTGGGAGCCAGGGATTCTTATGAGTTCTGTATTACAACCATTTATGTCTTCATATAGCTCCAATCATAGAAATGGGGCTCCAGGGTTCAGGAACATATTTGTATGGGGAGCACTTTTGAATAATGGCAGCCTCAAAAAATCACATGTAGATGTTATAGTACTGCAATATTATAACTATACATTATGCCAAGTATTTATATTTTCTTTTAATGGAGAGATTACATAGGATGGAAAAAATTGAGTGTTTCTGTATAGTCAAACTACATCCTATATATACTTGTCCTAGTACTCTAAAAGCCTATGACTGAAGACAGCAGGACAAAATTCGGGAGATATGGATGTTGAAAACCTTTCCTACTTCTTCCCTTGCTCCAGCTGCTTCATTTGCATATGAATAGTATAATAACTTTGCTCATTTTGTACACTATGTTTCCATTAACACAGCCAAAGATCATATTAACTTTTTTCACCAAGCCACATTGTTGACTCACATTTAATTTTCATCACATTAAAATTCTCATGTCTTTTTCACTTGAAGTGAAGTCTAGGGACATCTCCTCCATCATCTCCTTATGAAGTTGAACTTTTGAACCATGATGTGAGATTGTATTTTTAACCCTAATAAATTTTATATTATTAGCTTTGTTCTTCTATACAGTCAGGCAATAAGCATTTAATAAATGACTGTTATGTGCCAGACACCGTGCTAAGTATGGAGATTCAACGAAAGGGAAAAGACAGTCCCTGCTCTCAAGGAATTCATAGATTAATGGAAGAGACAGCATGAAAATAACTGTGAACAAAAAAGTTATAAACAGGATAAATAAGAGGTAATCAACAGAGGGAAGTCACTAGCATCAAGAAGGATCAGGAGAGGCTTCTTATAGAAGGTAAAATTTTTTATGGGAATTGAAGAAAACCAGGAGGACTAGGAGAGAGAGAGAGAAGGGAGAGAATTCTAGGCATGGAGGACAGCCACTAAAAACACCCAGAATTGATAGATGGATTGTCTTGTCATTGTCAGAACAATAAAGAGGTCAGTGTCACTGGATATTAGAGTACATGAGGGTGAGTAAGATGTAAGAAGAACTGAAAGGTTAGGAGTGAAGCAGGTAATAAAAGGTTTTGAATGCCAAACAGGATTTTATATTTGACCCTGTAGTTGAAAGGGAGCCATCAGAGTTTATTTGGGCAGGAGTGACATGGTCAGAGCTGTGCTTAAAGATCACTTTGACAGCTGAATGGAGAATGGACTGGAGTGAAGAGACTTGTGTCAGGGAGACCAAGAAACAGGCTGTTGGAATAATTCAAAAGTGATGTGATGAGGCCCTGCCCCAGGATTACAGAATTATCAGAGGAGAGAAGGTGGGTATATACGACATATGTTATATACAATACAATATATTCAATGAATGTTATAAGGATACAAATCAAGAGGACATGGAAACATGTTGGACATGGGGGTGGGTGGATGAAAGAGTAAGAAGTGACGATCATACATAGGTCTTGACCCTGGGTGACTGGGAGGATAGTGGTGATAGTAAAAAGGAAGTTAGCAAAAGGGCAAGATTTGAGGAAAGAGGAGGGAGATAATGAATATTATTTTGGACCTGTTGAGTTTAATATATCTACGTGATATCTAGTTTACAATGTCCAGTAGGTGGTAGAAGATGTGAGATTGGAAATCAAAAGAGAGTTTAGAGCTGGATAAGTAGATTTGAGAGTCATTAGCAAAGATGATAAATCATGGGAGATAATGTGATCACCAAATGAAATAACAGAGAGGAAGAAGAGACCTAGCCCTGAGGGACACCCATGTTTAATAGGTGTGACCTGATTGAAGATTTAGCAAAGGAAACTGACATATAAGATGAGAACCAGGAAAGAGTAGTGTCCTAAAAACCTAGAGAGAGATTCTCAAGAGGAAGAGGGTGATTGACAGTGTCAAATGCTATGGAAAGGTCAAGAAGGAAG